TAGATAGATAGATAGATAGATAGATAGATAGATAGATAGATAGATAGTTAAATGTATGACCCCGATGTGATTTGAACACGCAACCTTTTGATCTGGAGTCAGATGCGCTACCGTTGCCCCACGAGGTTGTCTATTAAGATAGTAACACAGTTTGTTAGGACAAAAAAGAAGGATGAAAACTGTGTAACCCAGAGGAAAGAGATTTAAATGCACATTCTTACAATGTTGTCGAAGAGCCGTTTGGATCTCATTTGGCTTTGTTTTTTCAGATTTATTCGTCATGAAACATGATTTATTTTATACCACAAGTAAAAAAGCCTTTTCTGTGATCAACTCTTATCCAATTAACCAAGAGGCTGCTAGGAATTATGAGCGATATGATGCGCGTGACGCCTTAACTGAACACCTCTGAGCTAAAGATAGACATAAATTATTTTATTTTCCCAGTATCCCATTATCTAATAGAGAAATCAAAATAAAAGTAGCTTTTATAATATGCTTGCTTACTCTGTTTTTCCGCAGGAGATTATTTATTCTAAGTTATGGAGTTGTATGAGTAAAGCTGAAATACAAGCAAGCATTTGTAATAGGCCTATACTTAAAAACACACCGATGAAGGTGGGATATTGTGTAAAATATTGATTAAAAACAGATTGCAAATATACAATATAAAAATCCTTTCCAACATGTATACAGTTGAATATACTATAAAGTTAGGATATTTAATGTTTAAAATGATTTTTAAAAAATTTCAGGTTTTCATTTTCAGTTTGGACAGGTGCATGTTTACCTCTGTTCTACATCACTCTCCTTTTAAAACCATTCAATAAGAGTTTAGGAAGTTCCATAGTTCCTAATAGGAACTATGGAAAACTAATTTTAAAAGCATTGTGGATGGAATTCTATCCCATTTTTGCCTGATGCATGACTGCAGGTGCTCAATAGTCTGTTGCTCTCCATGTTTATTTTGTGCTTCATAGTGATCCCCACATTTCTAATGGATGACGGGTCTGGACAGCCAAGACCAGTCCAGTAAATGCAAAACGTGGCCTGGCATTTTTATGTTGGAGTAAGCATGTTAAAAGCTTGGACGTAGTTGTTTGGAGTGTTGTTATTGGTAAAAAGAATAATAGTATATTTTTATATTAAAGGGCCTTTTAAAGTAAAAAAGGACACTGTATAAATACAAGACATTGGTCAACGTTCTCAGTTTATTATTACCCCTGTTCTGTCCCAGCTTTTTTGGAACAGTGTTCAAATTCAAAATAAGCTAATATTTGCACAACAAAAAAATAAAAAAGCTAAAATTATCAGTTAAATGTATCAGTTTAAAAGTTTATCAATAAATATTGTAAAAAAAAAAAAAACTGATTATATTAATTGATTTTTTAAAAATAAGTGATAAATGACTTTTTTGGTATATTGATTTAATAAAGATTGGAAAGGAAATAATTGAACTCTGATTTTTTTTATATTTTACTTCATGTAAAACATCAACATTTCATTAACTTAATTAGTACTCAAGGTTTGTAAAATCATTCGCTGTGAACTAGATATGTGTAACTAAAGATTTTGTTAAACTAAATGCCAATGCCATCTGAGCCACAGGGTTTTCTTCAATAGAACTAACTGCTCTTACTTTTTGTGTCTGTCAGTGTGAGTGACAGTGGTAGCTCACAGGGCCTGTCTCAGCCATCCACCCAGACCACACAGTACCTGAGAGCTGACACTCCAAACAACGCCGCTCCTGTTACGAGTAAGACATTTTTCTTCATCTGCTGTTCTTGAAGCTTCGCTGTAAGTTAATTTTTCTTTAGCCGAAAGAGAAAATTAAATTAGTGCTTAAAGTATTTAGCATGCCAGTTTTTTCTTGTCTGGCACTGGCATCTGCAAAATACTGATGGTTTTCCAAATGCAATAATCAACTGTGAATGACCTAATTGGCTTTATTAGTATCATAAGATTGTAAGAAAGAGCGCAGTTCATGCAGTGGTGTCGTCTCTCGTCACTTTTTGTTTTTCTGACCCTTGTGACCCATTACTGTCTGAGCAATGTGTAAATATCATCACCATGTGCTTTGCATCAGGCAGCACAAAGAGACAGAAAAAAGCAGCCTTTTATTCTGGAAGTGGGGGTAAATGTTTAACTCTTAAATGACAAAATTATAGTGTGCTGAGAAAGGTAGACATACTGTAATAAAATAGAAGGTGTTGAATGTAAACATTGAAGATGTCCACCTCAGAACTGTGCTGTGAGCATTTAGAGACTGTAAATCAAGAGGGGGCTCTTGGTCTTTTAAAACTGTACATTCATTGTTTAAGAACAGCAGAAACTGGAAACATTTGGTCATGGTCTGCTGTGCCAATGTGCAAAATAATCACCAATTTTTTATCAATAGAAGATTTTAAATGCTCATTGACACCAGAAACTGAGGTCACAAATGACAAAAGGGTCATTTTCACAGACATGTATTCCCCTGCACTGACAAGTTTCCCCCTTTGGCCAGATGGAGCATCGTTTGTTTAATCATTCTGAGCAGGAGGCCTTTCATGTTTTATCTATGCAAGTTCAGGGAGTATTTTAAATCATTCTCTTTTTCCCATTAACGCTACCAACTGGTCATTTTATTCTTGCTTTGATTAAAAGTCAACTGTTTGCTTTTTGTCTTAATTTACCCTGTTTACACTAATTATGAGGTAGATCTGTCTCCTGTTCTATACCGTTGAGTAGAGAAGAAGATCAGCAGCGCCCTGCCTGTTGAGTGTGGGGCAACAGCCACCAGCCATTTAGCCCTTTGTTGTTTTTGCCTCATTGCCAATGTCTGTTCCATCATTGCCCTCTTGTGGACACAGTCACATCCTGCTCTCACCCTGTGCATTTAGTCTGACCCACTTGCTGTTTCTTTATGCCTTATGCTCATGCTATTAATTGAAACCACCAGCTACCTCTTTGTTTTGCTCCTAAAAAGGCAAGTTTACCCAACTTGCAAGCATGCCTGGATTGATGGATGCATTTGATTACGAGCTGGAAATTTACAGCGACGGTTAAGACATCCATTCATTCCCTCTCAGGTCATGTTGTAACTTGCGTGAACTATCCATTAAACCACCTCTTTCTTCCTTTCTCCCACTCCCCTCCTCCTGTGGTCATCAGACAATCACCCCGGCTCTGCACCCATACTCCAGCTTGCTGCCTCCTCCTTCCAAAACCCTGGTGCTCCCCCTCATGAAACCAAAAGTAAGTTTAATGAACTGCTCCAGTTAGTCCATTATGAAGTGAGAAGCAGGATCACAGTTCCTCCTTTTAGACACCGATTAATGAAAGTCTTCCATTTCATTTTGAAGGCTTTTTATACTGGTTCATATATCATTATACTACTTCATACTAACACTCACTGACTCACTCATTACTTCAAACATTTGACATTCTAAAACCAATCGCTGCCAAGCTTCATATACATTAAACTAATATTAAATTAGTTTTTCTGACGAATCTGAGTTTATTTAAAAAAAATTTATAGCAATATTTTTGTTCTTTTTAGTTTTGAAGATTTCCCACCGTTTATCTGTTTTATGTCATTTTTCAAATGTATTCTTTTTGCACAAACAGCTGATCACAAATGTAAACATTTCTTTTCCCTGAGAGTATGTGGAATGTATCTCTTAACTGTTAAATTAACTGATACAACTAGCCGTCTATTTGAACGAAAAAAAATTGTCTCTTAAATGTGTCTGTCAGGGGTAAAAGAAAATAAATTATTTATAGTTACACAACCCTCAAATTTTGTACGTTTTGCATGAGCGGATATTAACAATGCCAGCCCCGTGATTCACTGAAAGGGAACTAATTCATGCCATTCTAACAGGTTTTGGTATGTTCACTGCTATTACAAAATGGAGAAAAATTTAGTCAGCATTTAGACAAAATAAAATATTTTTTTGCTGTCATTAACTGTTAGGTGCTGATGTATTTACATGATTTCTTTACTGCAGCATTGATTGGATACAGTTAATATTAGGTTTGTATTTTCAAGACAATTCATTTTGAGCTGTATTTATTTTGTTTGTGCTTTATTAGGACATACAAGAACCTCTGCATTAAGAGTTATCAATAATTCTTTAAAATGGAATCAGGGATATTTATTTTTTTGCCTTGTGTCTCAGAGTATTTGAATTGAAGTCTAAGTTTGCATGAAATACCACACTCCACCGTAAGATGTTAGAATTGTCAACTGCTTCCATCAACCATCGTTAAGTATCAACTTTTTAATATAAATATGAAGGAAAAAAAAAAGAAAAGTCTGAGGAGTTTTATGTCCAATGCGTCTAATCTGACAGAGAGCACTAAGAGGTCAAAACAACTACACTTTTCCAATTGTGCAATTAATCTCTCAAAAGTATATCATGTTACTTCAGTAAGCCTAAATATATTATAACTGTTCAAATGTGATGTTTTTAATAACTTTCAGTCATCTCTAAATTAAGCCTTAGGGTTTAGTATGCAAAGTTGACCATTAGTTATTTCTAGAGTGGGGCTCTGGCCATGAAGATTTAAATTACACAGTGTTTTAACATTTATTTTCTTGAGTTTTGACATAAATATGTTTCTAGTATTATTGTTCATGCACTTTGCATGGTTGAGCTCTAGGGGGGAGCATTGATGCATGCAATGTTAGGTTTTCTTACACAGATCTACACCCAACAGCAAAGCTTTAAACTCTGTGTTAACAGTGTCTCACTGGAATCCCATGTAATTCCTTAAAAGGACCTCAGCTTTCTTTACTTTAAATGTTTGGCTCAAAAACTCACACTTGTATAACACTATGTCAGTTGAAGGCTTAATTTGTTCAAAATGTCAGCACTTGTCAGCTGTGGACTGTCACCGAGTCCAGTTTCGTCTGGGGGTATTTTTCCGCTGAATATGTACTTCCTAAAGCCTTTCTAGAGAGTTACTTCTCATCTCTTGACAAGAGGGGTAAACACTGAGAGTGTTGTGTTGGCCGTGTTCATCTGTGTAGACTCTGCTGGAAACTTGTGCGTGTGCTAATGTATCCAGACTCCATCCTGTGTCTGTCTGCCTACATCTAATGACAGTGTACATTGGGAGGTTATGTAACAAAGGTGCTACTATAAACGACTTGACATGAAGTTGCTTTAATGTGCACTCCACCTCTTGCCAACCATATTTCTTGTAGCTGCTCCCCCCCCCCCCCCCAACATATGTTTTCTGGAGACAACTGTTATTATGAGTATGTAACTTTGCATTATTGATCTAATCTTGATTAAAAAGGCCTGTCAGAGTTCTAAAGATGTGGATTTTGTGATGCTGATTGTGTGTGTGTGTGTTCTGCCCTCACAGGTTACCCATCTCTCCGTATAGAGAAAAATGACCTGAGGAGTGTGACCTTAATGGAGGCTAAAGCTAAAGTGAAAGACATTGCAATTTCAAGGGAAAGAGTCACATTGAGAGATGTCTTACAAGAAGGTACCTAACAAGCTGTTTTTTTCCTCATACATTCCCTTTGTTTCTCTTCGTTAATGTTAAAGAAGCTTTTCTGACTCGCTTATTATTCGTGGCTTATCCTCGTCTAAGTTGGATTCTTTTGGTGGTACAGTTTCTTATGTGTCTCCGCACCTAAAGTATACATTTTATGTCTGTTCATGTTTGATCTTCACTAGCTTTTTTTAAAAACTATTTGAGAATTTTCACACTGAAAATGCTCTCCTGGCCCAACCCTACATGTTAAAAATGTCGTAACAAATTAAAAATAATTTATTCTGTTGGATCTATTTAGACTTTCACAAACAAGACAAACTGAAAATATAACATAAAAAGAATAAAAAGTTAAGTGACTTGCATTAGAAGTCATGTTTTATATAAAATGTTTTGTGCACAGTTTTATTCTGTTAGGAGATGCTGTACATCTCTAATAAAAAACATACGGCTTTAGGGCTGCACAATATTACACAAACATACAATGTCATTGTCTAATTTTACAGTAATGCATGTTTCGTTGAATTGCTTTTGGGAATTGCTGGAAAAAAGTTTTTATGGGATTTTTGTGTACAGTTGCTATTAACATCTGTTAAATGGTTCTAAAGAAATGATTGCTGAAATTTTAACAAAAGACTCTTTTGAGGTCTCAGTGCAAGAGAGGAGGAGATGAGCATAAGTGAACTTGAATGTTTCTGGTTTACCTAAAGAACTACTAAACATTTTAAGCTTCTAAACTTATCTCTTTACCGTTCATAAAGGAAAATGAATGCAGTGTAGATAGTTTCAAGTAGGAATTTTGTTCAAGATGTAACACAGGGAATACTTTTGTGCTCAAGTCATTTTAAGCCTACTTTAATTAAAAAAGGGATTATTACTCACACTAACCTCCGCATGAACCCAAGGATTTACAAAAACCAATCATGTCTTTGTTGTCCAGACTGAAATAACTGATAGCTGAACTGCTGGAAATTTAACTCAAAGTACACTAGAAAGAGGAACAACACAAACTAAGAAACAAAAGGAAATTAGATTTCGCTCTTAGTGTTTTTGTATGAGACCCTCTCTTTCTGCCATTTTTTCTCTTGAGTGTCCTGGATTATTGCAAACTAAACTTTTGAATGACTTGTTGATTTGATTTTGGAGAAAATCTCTTAAGACAGACAGACACCTGGGAGATGTGGGTACTCTATAAACTGAAGTAATCGAGTGAACAAAATGCAGGGTAAAATGACAAATGAGGCAAGTAATTTCTTTGTCAGGCATTAATCTTTGCAAACTAGCTGCTTGACAGTGCTAGTGCACTTATAACAAACAAAGTCTTTTACTTTATTTAAAGATGAATTTGATTACTAGGAGAAAAAGTCACATTTTTTAAATGAACTTTAATTTGATTAAGTCAAAAACAATGACAATAAGCTAGTGTTTCAGGTAAGTTATTTGTTTAAGGTTATCTAATCATGGCTTCCACACTTTGATTCGCCTTCTTAGAGGATATCTAATGACAAACACCTATATCGTGCCTGTCACCCTTTTATCAGATATAACAATAGATTCTGATGGCATAATTAACCTGAAGTAAAGCCTAAGCAGATACAAATGCTAGCTTCATAGTTAGCTTCACATGTCTGTGAGTGGCCTGCTTTTAAAGTCAGGTAAAGAACTAGAAGGTGAGTAAAAAGGCAGAGTTGTTCCAAGGTTATGAATATTTGTCCTATATAATCAGTTTGCTTTACAACAGGGCGTGAACACCATCTGCACATGGTTGGTTATTGTGTCTCTATCTAACTCTGCTGTTGCTGTCAGCTGTCCACATTTATTCAGTTCTGTGAACAAAGGCGTAGCAAATCTAATATTGATATTCAAAACAAGAGAGTGCAAGAAGCACAATGTAGCATGTCAGACACGTGAAATCAGTGCCGAGTTTTGTTTATGGGTACCAACAGGTCCAGACAGGCCTGATGACGAAGACAGAGATGGGAGGGATACACTTAAACTCCAACCCTGTTGTTATTCTACATCGCTTTTCGTGTTGAAACCTTATGCTCAGTTTTCCCTGGGGCAATGTTTTTATTTCTCAGTTTACATTGATGGTTTATATTCCGAACAGGTATTTCACCACAGAAAAGTTCTAAAGAAACTGTATTATAAAGGAGATGATGGATGGATTCACTTGGCCTTTACACATTATATATCTCTTTAAAAAGGGTTCTCTGAGCTTTTCTTGTCAGCAAAACAGGGGCCAAAACTGCCAAATCCCATTAGAAGACAAAAGGGTGTTAAACCAAAGCCTGTCCACCTCCTCTCACAGATCAGCCAGGCCTGGCAGTCAGGGAGTGAGGTGACATTTCTATCTTTGAAAGAGATGCTTATATCTTCCCCACTGATGCCCTTTTCCTAACACAAAAAAGGAAAGAGGAAAAAAAATCAGTTTTTTGTCTTTGACAGGCACATTTGGCCGTATCTTCCATGGCGTGCTGCTGGATGAAAAGGACCCTAGTAAGGAAAAGCAAGTCTTCGCAAAGACGGTAAAAGGTATGTTTCTGGCAACAGGTCCAGTTTCTTTATTTTTCTATGCCCTCGAAACAGATCTTAGGAAAAAAAGCACAAACTATAGCTCTCATTTAAGCACCTTTTCCATTGAAAATAAAAAATATTCTGAAAATGTGTAACTTAAAAAAAAAGAGCTCTGCTCTCCAGTTTTACAAACATTAGTAATTTCAGCCCTGGTATGATCCTAGAGAAACCTGTTTGTGGCCATTTGCATTCAGAAATGCCCTCAATTAACTTTATGTAGTAACCCTATTTTACTTTGAAAAGTCAACTGGCAGTTTTTCCTTTCACAAGGAGAACCTAAACAAAGCTTTGCAGGGTTCAGGTCCCCAATTGTTCCCAAACTCAGATGTTACCAATTGTATAAGATGAATGAGTGTGGTTTCAATTTTTGTTGTTTTTATTTTTCTATGTCTTCCTTCTTTAAAGTCTGTCTTAGTGGCAAGTGGCAGGAATTTAACCTGTTTGTCGGTTGTGGCTCCAGCGTGGCCCTTCATGCCCTGAAAATGAATGTACAAATTTGGCAGTAAAAGAGTCCCAGGTCTCCCTAAAATTGCTGGTTGCATGTCAGTAAAAGGCATGTGTCTGCTTTCTCTGCCAGCTGACTTCTGACCTCTCCATTCAGCCGTGTTTACTCAGAGCGGGGTGGATACCACTCTGTGAACAATATCCCAATGCCAGTTTTGGCTTTGTTAAACTCCTTACTTCCTTCTCATACGCCTTTTGGGAAGGGAACAATAACGCTTTCCATAAGTACCAGACGATGGCAAAGCTGCACGCACAGATTAAAAAGTGCCGCAGGTCAGTTTCCCTCTGAAGTTTTCCTCTACAATAAGTGTTGGCAGAGGAATTGTGCAATGAAAGGAATAAAAAAAAAAAAAAAATCAAACATCACTTCGGGTTAGACAATATTTCTGTCCTCACCTCTGCATCTAACACAAGTTGCCCTTTCCTTTTATTTTTAATGTGGTTCTGTGTCTTATTGAAAATTTCCAGATCATGCGTCTGAGGTGCAGGTGACCATGATGCTGACTGAAAGCTGCAAACTCAGGGGACTCCACCACAGGTATGCCCAAGCACAAAAGTTTTTTTTTTGTCAGTTTGATTTAAAAAAAAAATGAATGTGTAACCAAAATCATCAGTATTGACTACCCCCATGGTTGTACAGTCAGTTCCTGAAATGTTTGGACACTTTTTATTTCAGCTGTACAAAAATTTGGGGATTGCAATCATCATGCATTCTGAAATTGAGGTTCAGCTGAATGAACCAAAACTTGTTTGGTCAGTCATCTGATTTTAACCCTGTGTCCTTTTTCTGACATCAAAAGTGAAAGAGTGGAGACCCATAAAAAAACAAGAAATACCTAAATAACAATACCTAAAGATAGCTACAATATGAAAAATATGACAATACGAAAATATCATGATATAAGAAGGACTTTTTTGGCAAGTTCCATACCCTCCAGTTGTCACGTAATTTAAATTGTATTGTAATATCTAAAATAAGATTAAAAAGGTTGATTATTAAACCAATTTTCAAAAGACTTGCTGAACAATATAGAGGTTTATTTGGAACTTCTTAACAGTCATTTGGGCAGCTTGGAGCAGAGACCAGAGCACAGCTTGGATTTCTTGATTAGTCTTTTCCTTTAAAATATGGATTGAAGTTTGTTTGAGTTTAAAAGTGATCACCTACTTTGTGCCGCAGGCAGCACATTTTCTGTAGTACTCGTGCTGTCTCACAGAATGCAAAATAATTCAGATCCCTCATTAAAAGAACATAAATTGCTGTTTCACCTGCAGGCAGATTTTACTTTTTTTTTTTTTTTTAAAGATCTGTGACTTTCTCAATGACATGCATCAGGCAGCAGCTCAGTCTGTGTGATGGCTGGAACTGATTTTACCAGTTTGTTTATATTGATATATTATTAATCCATAGTCATGGACTTGTCTGAATTTACTTTTAACTTTAATAAGGACCATAAACAAAGCTTGCATCAAGGATGCAGAGGAATTCCATACTCTGCCACCTTTCCTGGAAACATTTGGTATCATCATGTTGCATAATGAGCCCAGAGAAACTTAATTAGACCCTAAGTGCAGCCAGTTAAAGTCAGAAAGTTGGTAAGATGTAATCCCCAATCCCCTAAAGTATAGATTTTATTACATATTTAACTTCCAAATTTAGGTCTTTCCAACAAAAGGTCTGCCTGCTTTATTAAATAATTTTTAGTTTTGGTTACAGTAAAGAGTTACTTCCTCTTTTCTTATTCAGAGTACCTCACAATCAGAATCTGAAATACTTTAATAATCCCAGAGGGAAATTATTTAAATGCTGATGAAGCAATGCCACATTTTTGCACATCGAAGTGAAGATCAGCAATGCTCTGACCCAAATGTGGCTTCACGGGAAAGCTATATGATTATGTTAGTCCTACTCCTTCGTCCTTGTCTTCCTAAGGCCTTTTTTTATGTGCGGCACACCTCCACACAAATGTAATACTGTAGCACATCATCACTGTCTCCCCTGTTCATGTAGAAATCTGTTGCCCATAAGTCACGTGTGCACAGAGGAAGGTGAGAACCCGATGGTACTGCTGCCTTTCATGGCCTGGGGGAATCTCAAGCTCTTCCTCCGGCAGTGCAAGCTAGCCGAGGCTAACAACCCTCAGGTGAGGCATGGACTTTGCTCGCTAAATATTTTGTGAAAAAGCTTTAATATGTCTTCTAATTCTGCCTCTCTCTCTGCAAAAGCTTATGATGTAAACTGAACAGACTAAAAAATTGTTTCTGGTTTTATAGATAACTTATTTTTTTCTCTTTTTTTTTACTTCAGCTTCATTTTTGACTGCAGGGGTCTCTTGTAACACAGTGTCATTTTAAGGTTTAGTTCAACTTTTGTTTATTTTAGTTTCTCTAACAAATCATCCTCCCTGTATGCGTGTTTTATGATGTGGTCTTGAGCATGAATATAAATCTACTTGTTATTTAAAGATACATTTTGAAGCTAAAGAAAAGTTGGGCTCCATCCCAGCAGAAAATATTTTTCTTTTGTGGTTTTGCGGCAAGTAGCACCCACAGATAGTAGTGTTTACACTGTTATTATAGAGACTGTTATCACAGCCACGGAGTCTGGGCTTCAGGTGGAGATTTCCACTCTCTGAGTAAAGACAATCAGGCCTTTGTGTATCATAACCCGGAGGAGTCTTTGATACTCTTTGCAAAGCCAAGTATGAATCCAACCAATCAGTCAGCATTAAAACTACAGATGCACCAAACTTTTCACTGTCACAAGATGAATCTTGCCAGTAATCAAAGCCCTTCGTACAGCTTCAGATTTTGGCAGTCACTGGGCGAAAAGATGTTCATTAAGTTGTGCTGTCAGGATGAGTGTTCTGTAAATCAAGGCCATTATAGGAAATACGTGGGGGATGTGTAGGGTTGAGCCTTTCCTAACGTTTTTTCATTTGAACCGTTTTTCTCTGAATCGTGTATATTTCCATCCTTGTTCATCGGTTGCTCAAGAGTTTGTTTTCCTATTTTTGGGAGAATTGATGATCATTGATATCACACTGTTTGATAAGACAACCGTTAAAAAATGTTCACTGTGTGTCAGAGTCGAGGCATCTTATCTATCTAAGATTTGATTAGAATAATAATAACAGTAATAATGAAGGTACATTTATATAAGTCACTGCCTCTTTAGGAACTCTAAAGCGACGTTGTCTTCTCAGCTATGCAGGATGTTTATGTGCTTTCAGGGAGCTGCCTCACTTTGTTAACAGTTGGGGGGTATTTTCTGTAACACATCTGTTGGTTGATCCATTGTCTCTGTGGTTTAAAGCACAGAACAAATAGCTGGTTTAGCCTTTGGGGTTTGTGCTTTCTGGATCACATAATCAGGTCCTGGACCCTGTGTCTCATACAGTTCTGGCAAGAAATGTTAATAACTCAACACAACTGTACTTATGCTATACTTTGCTATATCTTTTGACCAGGGCAGCCCTTTAACGCAGTCAAAACTCACACATCTGTGCTAAGTTTCATTGGAATTCAAATCTTAAAGTCCTAAATAACATGTAACTGGTATCATACAGATATTGAATTATTGTAATAGTTGATAGCTTATGGTCAGGGCAACTTTCATCCATTAGCTGAAGTTCCCTGTTTCTCCTTGTTTGTTTTTCTCTTGCTTTTCCTGTTTCTCTCAACTGTGCATTATCACTCTGTCTGGTCCATTTCCTTTCAGGCTATCTCTCAACAAGACTTGGTGTACATGGCCATCCAGATTGCGTGTGGCATGAGCTACCTGGCTCGTAGGGAGGTCATACACAAAGACCTTGCTGCAAGGAACTGCGTGTAAGAATCTAACCTGGAGTGGAGTTTCCAAAGCTCTGCCCTGTAGCTTTCAGGTGAAGTGGTCTTGGAATGTCAACCCCTTGTCTCATTTCTCTCTGCCCTCCCTTCCCCCAACCTTGCTGACAGCATTGATGACAACATGCAGGTGAAAATTACAGACAATGCCCTCGCCAGAGATCTATTTCCAATGGATTACCATTGCCTGGGGGATAATGAGAACCGTCCTGTCCGCTGGATGGCTCTGGAAAGCTTGCTCAATAACGACTTTTCCAGCGCAAGTGACGTGGTAAGGATTGCTGTAACAAATATAACACTTCCTGACTCTAAAGGAGTCATTAGGCTGAGCAATCCATCCAGGAAATGGCACCAATTGTATTCAAGCTATCCTTGGATACTTAGTTAATGTGTCAAAGGGAAGGGCGGTACAGTATTGAGCACCATTTGTCAACCGGTTTGCCCCTCTTTCCCGTCTAATCAGCCTGTCCGGTAAGAAAAGAAGACTTTTCGGAAAGCCAAAGAGATCCTTTGAGGCTTTGCCCTCCATCACCCCACAACGCTGTGTATCTCTCGTATGTGCATGCTGGCACTTTTAGTTTGCAAAGGCCTACTTATAACAGACAACAAAGCATCGGACCAAGTCCATGCAAGTCGATGTGCATTAGTGCTGCTCATGTTAACGCAATGCTTACCCTTGTGTTTGTGTATATCTGATTCAGAGCCACACAATGTCAGACCCTCTGCTGATCTGTTTATATCTGGTTGGCCAAGTATACAGGTGCATTGATGCGGGAGCAGGGTGGATTACTGAGCAGCACATGTTTTTTTTCTTCTTTTTTTCTTCAAATCTTTGAGGCCCTCTTCTTGCTTTTTGTTCCCTGTGGCATTGGAAAGGAAAAAGTTTCTTATTCTACTCATACTAGCTTGTAGGTTTGTTGTTTTTCCAAAAAAACACTGTTTTTTGGTCAGTTTTTGGTTAAAATTATGTTTTAATTGTTTTATGTAAAAGGGAAAATTCAAGACCAATAAAATTCCTGTTGGCAACTTTTAAATTCAAAGAACTGCTATTAAATACGTTGTTAACGCTTTCTCAAACATAGAGAGGAAATGCTTCCTTTCCTTTTTCTCTCTGCGGTGGTTACTGTAAATATCAACACAGGCAGGCAGAATTCGGTTGACACCACCTCCCTGCTGTTTAGACGTTGAGTCTCCTAACACTTGTGGCTGTGATTTACATTCCAAATACATTTTTTTACACGATTTCCTTGCATTGTTCACAGCAAGCATTTTTGCATGTAGGCACCCTTTGTTTTTTCTCAGGCCTCATAATAATGTTATTAATGTTTACTCTGTTGACTGAAAACATGTAAACAGTCATGGCCTGTGTGTTCGATTTTGGACAAAATAACGTTAACATTAGCTCAAGATCTAATCACTATTCGTTTGCTTTATGTTCACAGTGGGCATTCGGAGTGACACTCTGGGAACTCATGACTTTGGGTCAGACTCCCTACGTGGACATCGACCCCTTTGAGATGTCTGCTTACCTGAAAGATGGCTACAGAATAGCACAACCTATTAACTGTCCAGATGAGCTGTGAGTTGTTTTTCTTAAACTTTTTGCTTTGCCTTTTTTTTAGGGCTGAAGACACAAACAAATATGCCAAAATACCAAAAAAACAACAACAAAAACACTGCAGTCTCGAGTGATCACCCTCTGCTTAGAACAGGATTGCAACTATGGAGTGTTTTCAGCCCAATGCTTCACCAGCATCACTGTAACACGGTTGTTCCAGTCGGCAGAAAGAACCAAAAATAAACAGCTTAGATTGTTTGTGACGGAAAAAGATTGAAACAAGAGTTTTGCTGCCCAGTAGTTGTTTTTACTCTCCTTTTCAATATGCATACAGTTTCAACAGTAGACATCCTCATACAGCACCTATCAAAGTTATATGAAATCCTTTGTAATGGCTTTTTTCCATTAGTACCTACTCAGTACAACTTGAGTCAGTTTACTTGCATTCCCATAAGATGCCGAAAATATGACGTCTATAGATTTCAGGATATACGTTTTTGTCATTTCTGTGATCGTTATTGGCGTAAATGGCAACACGCAATCAAATGAGGAAGTATATTGTTGCCACAATGCCCTCCATACACATACACAAAGTTCAGCAAAGCTAAACTTTTGTGTATGGTTTTTAATGCTGGTCATCAGCTAGTCAGCAGCATCCCATCTACATAATGAACCTTTATTTACCTTTTTTTGGGAAACCAATTGGTTCTTTGGATGAGATTTTGGACTCCAGAAGTTTGATATCACAGAAGGTCACATTTTTTATTTTTTTTTTTAATGGAGAAGGATCTTATTGGAAGCTAGTGTGTATGTGTGTGTGTGTGTCTAGCGGCTGCCAAGCTTGTTCTTGCAGGCTTTCAACAAAAGAAGTGTGCAGCTGGTGACACATTGTTTATGTAACAGAGGAGCTAAGTCGAACTGAAATGTTCAGTTACTGACAGGGTTGGTTGATATTAACCTTATCAACATCCGGCAACTGTCAAGAATAAGGAGCAACCTTTGCCCACTGGCATCATTTTCCCACCCTGACATTGTTATTTACTGACCATTTCCTCAATATGGAGTCTGCGTGAGGTCACCACCTTCTTGGTGATGGATGAGAACATGATTTTTCTCAGCTCCAAGGCAGCCATTAGCCAACAATCTTGGTGAAATTGTTCCCACTGCATGATTGATTCAAACCGACAAGAGTATTTTATTTAATTTTGTTATTGGTTGTTTTCTTTTTTGTTTTTTTTCTAAAGATAGTTCCAAAGTAAGCTCATTAAACTGCGTACACCCTGATGCTGAGAATTGCCTTTCGTACACATGTTGCTTTCATTACCATTGAGAGCAGAGTCATGTTTGACACAAAGGTCTCTTTGTACAGTTGTGAAACACAAAGCATAAACTCTGTCAATTCTACAATCAGGACACAATGGAAACACAAAAAAATAATCTGCTCCATGGGAAATACACCCAGAGATGAATGAGACATCGAGTATCAGAAATGTAGGTCAAGATGCAGAAATAAAAGTCATGAAAGTAAATTTGTTTAACCATCATTTGCAGAAAATATGTTTCTGTGTGACGTCAGTCTCCCACATCACCGTGGAGGAATTTCTCAGATTGCTCTTAATGATACTGCTACAGTTCATGGAGGTTTGCAGCACTCATGGAGGCTTAACTCTCTCTAGCAGCACTGTAACAAAGCATAAATCTGGTATTTTGACATGACCATCTCAAAACCTTCAACACTCATTTTTCCCGACTTTGTGTTAAAGATTTGCTGCTGAGTTTTAGATCGTTGTCTTGATTATTGCCTAGTTTCACTGAACTGTTAAACAAATCAAATTTTAAACCTCAGCCTTGCCACTATGTACTTTATAGAGTGAAGGCTTTATCCTGTAAATTTACCAAACAAGTGATACCGGCTTCAAAACAAACTTTGACATTTTACTTTTAGAATCTGAGATGTCGCTCTTGGTTTTTTAAGTTTTTATATATACAAATAGCTTTCCAGAGTTTAGCTCAGTTTGACCTCGTGTTGAACCTGCGGGGAAACTTAGTGACTGTCTTAAATATGTTCCTCTTGTTAACGACCGTTCTCTCTGTGGAGGGATGGATTTAAAATAGTTTGGAAATGGATTTATAATCCTTCCCAGAGTGATGAGCAGCAACAGTTGTTTGTGAGATGTGCCTTGCTGACGCCTTTCCTACGTGGCTTTCCATTCTCATACAGCGGAATATTCACATACACTAAAGTGTACTTTTATTAATGTGCTCAGACTCTTTGAATGTCAGTTAAATCATATATAAGCTGCTAGATCTTTTTTTTTTATGGGATAGTGACAATGTAGCATGTCATGTGAATATGTTTCTCTGATTTTTGTATTTTTCTCATTTTTAAATCCGGAGATAATCAAATTATGTTAATTACTTTTTATGTCCTGACCCATAAAACTGCAGTTTTCACTTGTTGGAATGTGTGATAGTTGCAGAGCTGATCACTTCCTTTTCCAGAAAATTTGGCTTGGAGAACGCAAAAGCACACTGATTAATAAAACGATCCTATCGCACTCTGTTATATCAGCACTGCACAGGCAGCGACGGCTTCAGAACAATGCGACTCAGGCTGTTTATCACCAGTGTCCTGACAATCAGGCCAGCTTGGTCTAACACACACCCTATCACACCCTCGCAGTAAAATACACAAAGAGGGAGAGAAAGTGCTTTTGTTACGTTTCTTGAAGGCAGATATTTCCAATTTAACTTGATCCTTTCCCCTGTTCTCTTTGTGGCAGCTTTGCAGTGATGGCTTGTTGCTGGGCCCTGGACCCCGAGGAGAGACCCAAGTTTCAGCAGCTTGTTCAGTGCTTGACAGAATTTCATGCTGCACTGGGTGCCTACGTGTAAAAAAAACAAAGAAAGAAAAAAGAAAAGAAAAGAAAATCTTTGTATTTCATCTGCTTTTTTGAAAATGACACTCAAGGCTGTTGGACACTACTCACATGGAACACCCGTATGAAATTATGCCTTATCAAGAGCAGACTTTAGCACGACAACTTTGTTTTGTACAGTTTTTTTTTGTGGAGTTTTATTTTTTATTTACCTTTTTACAGCATAGCAAAGTAAAAGGATATTTTTCGTTATTGTTTCATTTGCTTATAAAGCACTCGCTCCTCTCTCTGAGAGGGCCTGAACATTGGAAGTATGCCATCAACTTTTACAGACATTTACCTGCCATTGATCAATTTAAGAGTTTGGAAATTTCAGTATTTTCTACAGTTTTGTAACATAAGGACGCAATGGAAATTGTAGATGTTTTTTTCTTCTTTTATGCAATTGATACAGAAAATTATTGTGGGCACCTAACTAGACTCAAAGGTTCCATTTGCTCGGTTTGTGTCCTCTCAGAGGTGTTGCTTCGCTCTGCAATGAAGAGCTCAAGCGAGGTACGAGAGGTAGAATGGAAACCAGACTTGTGTGCGAGGTGACACTTCTGAGACCCCCTCACATGGTACACCATCTCCCCTGGATCTGAGGAGACTACTGGCTGGTTTTAAATCAAAGATTGAACATCAGCAAGGAAATATAACAATAAATCCGAACCAGATTTGGAGTGATGCCTGGGTCATTCTACACCCCTTTCCTTCTTGGTCAGAACCTCCTCCAAGAGTGTCTTTTTTTTCTTTTAACAAACTTGATTGTTCTGCGTCAGAACACAGCCCATTATGGGACTTTCCGACCAGTTTTAGTAACTAGAACACTAATGCTCACTGTGAAAATGCACAGCTTTGTACCGGCTTGGTTTGATCGTGTTCTTTACACCATTTAACATCTCTGTGATGTGTTTTTTTTTTTATATATATATATGGTCACTGCATATTGAAATATGGTTGTAAACTGCTTCCCGAATTCATATCCACAAATTAAATGGAATTTTCTATTATGGTGTTCTGAATGATTGTTTTTTTAGAAATATTTTTTAAATGGATTTCTCTTCTTCCACTGAAGCCACTTTGGCTTTCAGCATGTTCTCATTTCTAAGGATAAACGGCTAAACCTGAGTAAAATTAGGTTGAAATGTTTCCACACGGTTCTGTCCAGCAGAGCTTAAAAGAAGACATTTGTTTCAAAACATTTCCAGGTCGTCAGTTATGCATGCTTTAAAAAAAAAAAAATCTATTGTATCATTTCCCCACCAGCAGCAGCCATAATAGACCGTAATGCAACAAGACCACAAGACATGTTGTGTAATGGAGCATTTTCTTTAACAGACAGTTGTGTCACATCTCTGTGGGGTTTACCAAGTTTCTGGTTTTTAAAGTATAATGTCAAATATTACAACGTTTGAGGGAGGGGAAGTTCTGGATTTTAGTGAGAAAAACTTAGTTCTGTAAACCTATTTCTTATAACACGTCCATATTTCTTATTAACCTGCTTTTTATTTGTGGAACTACGACTGTTGTTGCTGAATCAGCTCTAGATTTAGTGTTAAACATATTTAGTCAACAGGTGAGCTTTTAAAAAAAAAAAAAAGTTAAAGTCTGCATCGTGTGATCACAGCCTATTATTGTCTCTTAGCTTGAACATAAGCGGATGTTCATTCTTAAGCACAGGGGATAACTACTGTCATTTGGAACTCGAAAGAGTAGTCGTATAATTCAACTGGATCAACCTGGAATGTTTTGTATTATATTACATGTTGCATAACAGCATGCGGCCTCTAGCAAAAGATGTTCGACCACATATAAAAGATGCACAGATGATGCAGAACAGTTTTACTTGATAGCTGAACATGATTGCTTTGTTTTTTTTTTAAATAAATCATAGTATTTGCAATGGAAATGCAAATGAGGTGATTCAATTTTTTTCACTCATGACTTCAGTTCTACCGCATCTTTTTGTACACATCACTTGCCATTTTTTTGTAAATAAAGAACCATCTTATTTACTTTTTAAGAAAAAGATATGTTTCATAAAGCCGTAATAATCGATGAAAGCTCTATGCCCTGTATTTAGATGTAAACTGTTTTTTTGTTTCATTTACGGTTTTCAAACTTTATTGGAACATTCAAGTAGTTTTGTTCCGTTGAAGTCCACTCCTTTTTACACTGGAACTGACCCTGCTTCTGACGAAACAACATTTGACCAAAATTACAGTTTTATAGACGGATAAGAAAGGCTTATAAAAGCCAGACTAACAGGGGGAAAACACCTTCAGTCAACAAAGGCATTTCTAATGATTCTTCCCAAAAGCTCCTAAAAAGAACAACTTCAAAAGAAAGAGAGGCGGGTGAGAAAAACACATTTTCCATCAAAATATTTTGTTGATTTATAAGTTTGGGGGGGGGGGGGGGGTTGACATCCTGACCTGTTGGCTATTTCAAATAGCTACTGTTTAACAGCCTCTGACAAACGAGGAATCTTTCAACTAATTAAGACAATTATTTGCCTCCGTGTGTAGTTTAGCCTAACCCCTAGCACTACTTAAAAAGTTACCGCTTAGTCAGCTTCACATATAAACTGACGAACGCAAATAAAACTAACACTGAATAAACACGTTATTATACTTTTTTTTGGTCGAATGTGATTTCAAGGCTTGAAATAGCTGAACTGGCACTCCTCGACGTTCATTAGCCGTTGGTCATCTGCGCTCATTAGCTCTGGGCCGAAATGGCTCGCGGCGCCTCATTCCACAACTAATGAAGCACCGAGGCCGTTTTAGCCGCTGAGGACCAAAAACGGGGGAGTTTCAACCGTGGGGGGAAAGACAGCGCCGAGCGGCGTTCCAACTTTTCTTAACCGTGCTGTTTATCGGAAGTGTGTCGGCACACAGCCCCGTGAGTAACGGTGACTCGCAATTGTTAAAAACCTGTCTTGCCGCGAGCGCTCAGATAGTTCTGCGTCTTCGCAGGTGAGTGATTGTACAAGCCTGCGCGTGACTCAACCCCCTTCTGCGCGAGACCGTCCTGTACCAGCTTTTAGGTTTCAAAACATTTACGCATGGGCTGTGTAGCTTGTGTCCAATTACCTCATCAGTCCACCACCACCGCGACCTCATATACCCACCCCGGCTCAGATATGGGAGTAGAAGAAAAACTTATGCTGAGACAGATGTCCGTAGACAACTTCCCGCTCTGCACGCGCGCGGACATATTAGAACCAATGGACGAACACCCCCCCAAAGACGCGAGGAAACCAAGAAGGTATTGCTATAACATTAAGGTAAGCGTCGTTTTGCCACAGTCTTGTTATAACCTGCAGCATTTACTCCTCATTGTTTATGTATCCGGATTAACCTCTTTAATTTCTGAATGACTGCATGACTGAACAGAGATAAAGTTTAGCTGGATTGGAAGCGGCCAAATATTTTCAAATTTTCTCCTCATATAGTCGAGGATAAATGGCGTAATCTAAGAGAGACTAATGAAAATTTAAGTTCTTGGAGAATGATTGTTTGCATAAACGGTCGATCAGATCCAACTTAAATCAGACCGAACTGGACTTTTTCCCCGTTAGAAATAGGAGAATATTGAGCCAGCTGTTCGGGGCAAGGCGTTTGTTAAAGTTACTTAGAGTTGTTTAACTGTGCTCATTCAAATGTCAGATTAAACACTGGGATGTGACAAATTAACCTGTAAAATGTCAGAGAATTCTGGCGAAATTTACAATTCTCCTTGAAACAGCATAAAACCAAGAAAACCATTCCTAACAGCACAGGAATCTCCTTAATTCAGTTTGAAATTGTTTTAACTGGGAGAGACTTATGTCTGTTAAAAACTTTGATCTTTTGGTCTATGCTTACAGAGGTTTTATGTATCCTCTTACAGCATCCAGTTCCATCTTTGTTACGTTTGTTTATATAAAATCTGTGAGCACTGTTTGTGTGGAGTACATAAACCATCTACATGACTCAAGGAGCCCTTTTCCATTTTATGTCCCAGAGAAATGTATCTACACTGGGACTGGCAGATTATAAATGCTAGTACATTCTTAAAAAAAAAAAAAAGAAGAGTTAAGTGCACAGAATCTTTTAATCCTCCACTCCACAGAGAGAGAAATGGTTTATTTGCATTTGACATCATCTGTATGTTTACCTGAAATGTTCTCGCCCTGTCTGTGGTAGGTACAGCTCCTACCAAGGCGTCTGCTTTTTATCATTTTACTGAAGGAGGGGTGGGGGACAGTGGACAGCAGGGCATCTTTGGTTTCAGTAGGTTTGAGAGTTGAGAATGAGCGTTTGCCTGTTTTCCCTCAGTGTGAATCCTCTTCTGAGCGGTGTCATGATCTATTTAGACAATGGGAGTTGTTCAGAAAAGGCATCCAGGTGTTCGAAAGTTGTGATATGAGACATAGATTGCAGGATATATCCATGCCAGAACTCCTTTTTCCTGCTGGCTCTGTGTCTTGCTGTTGCAACCCAAGAGAAGAAAAATTACGTAATATCCTTTTCAGGTTAAAGAATAATAATAAAAATGTTCTCAAGGAAGTTGTATCCATCCATTTAGTGTTGACAAGTACATGGAGTACTACTCGAGGTTTAGGCGTTGTTTTCTTAATGGACATTCAGTTTGTTTTGTAGTCTCTATAGCTTTGAACCTCACTAGTGCTGAGAGCTCCTTGTCAACACTCGGGTCAGAGTCAAATCTTTTATCCTTGAGGCGTTAAAAATGTTCTGTACAGTATAGAGCAGCGCTGTCATGGAAACCAACCTCTGTGTGAACTTTGCATAAGTACAGCTACACACATGAATTTATGGAACGTTTTTCTTTAGTGTTTGCATTAAACATTAAACAGTCTTAGAATAAAAGGACCAATTAGCTGCAAATAATTTAGGGATACATTTTAAATAACAGAATGCAGAGATGCAAATCTGTCACATCAATATTTTATTTACAGTAGAACACACACATTTAGCCTGTTAAGGTGAGATATTTGACCCATTTCAAGAAATATGCTTTGTTTTGTAATGGACTGCAGGAAGATGTCACAATAAATTTGGGACAGAGCAATAAGAGGAAGGAGTGAAAAGAGTCTTACTAAGAAGAAACAACAGGTCTAGCATACTGCCACTTGTTGGATAACTTGGCAACAGCTTATTGAGATGTATTGGTATAAAAAGAATATCATAGAGATGCAGAATTTCTCTTAAAAATATATCAAAATATTTATAGAACCATGAGATATTTCTGTTTGAAAGGGAAAGTGCCAGAGGTCATTACTGACTGGTCGTAATCTTTTGGCACTCAGGGGGCACTGTATTAAAAAACAGGAAAGGTTCTGTCATGGTTCTGATTTGGCTTAAGACCAAAACCAGAAATAATTTTAGAAGTTTTTTAAATTTATTTTTTTCATGCAAAGATTCAAGCATAAGTGCACATAATATGCAATTTTCTTTCTCTGAGCTGGTCAATTTACATCAGACTGAGGCCCAGCGGAAAACTGCTCAGATAAAATCTAAATTTGAAATTCCTAATGGAAATCATGCATCCTGAACAGTTTAAAGATAGCGGGTGGGTACATTGGCGCCTATGGGGTTTTCTAACTTGCACAGAAGTCCTGTTGCTGTGCTGACCTGCTGATCGGGTAGAATCTCATACGAGACAAAAGTCGAGCAACGTTCCACATCAGGGAACAGTTCTCTTTGGGGGATTTAAAACTAGAAAAGACTATCATCTGAAATTTAGTCCAAAGATCAAAGAGGATTACTATCTGAGCCTAGTGTCTGCTCAGGGGCACGTACTCCTTTTTTGCGTGTGATTAAAGATAACATTTTTTTCCTTTATCTGTCTAAGCAATAACTTGGTATTTTGATAGGTTAATTGCTGAGAGTTTGATGAAAGCATTGGCACCACTGATAATAAGACTTTCAGGCTAAACAGGTAGTTTAACCTACTACACATTGACAGGGGTTTTTCATTATATGGGCAAACACGAGAAAGATATTGATATATTAATCAAACCTGTTGCGAGAAAGAGAATCTGCACAAAATGTCAAGGTAATATTTTTAAATTGGTGACAAATTTGTGGCCTCTTTGTTCTTCAAGCTATTGTGCAGCAAACTGTTTAATGTTTGCTTTACAATAAGGGGAGTTGATCCTGGGAACATGGTTTCTTTTAAGTGTCCTGGGAGACCTCAGACTTTTTGTTTTTTTTGTCCTAAAGTTTTTGATAAAGTAGACCCGGTAGCTTTGCCGAGAAAGGAAAACTAGCCAAATAATAAACAGATTATAGCGAGAGCACGTGCCCCCCTGATATAAAAGCGTCTGAAATCCGAGTGTGATCTTCCGACAATTCTTCCCCTCGCAGCAGGTTAAAGGCTGGGACAATAACTTCCACATGGAATGAGCTTGGTTTAAAAGAATCAGTTTGGATCTTATGCATGGAGAGCGGAATCCTGCTCTACAAGTTTCTAAACATATCTTTTCAATCTTTTGTGTGGGTGAATGATAGTTTCAACTTCATATATGGGCTTTTATTGACACACATTTCCACAGTTTGTCACACTGTACAAATATCTCGGCATGGTTTTAACACGTTGCTTCATCCACCATTTGCTGAATTATTATCAAATGGCCCAAGAAAGATGCAGCTTTTGGCATTTTGCAGATATGTTTAAAAAAAAAGAAAGAGAAAAAGAGGTGTGTGTGTATGTTTTGATCTGCTTTAAATCACAGAGGGCCATTTGCCTGCCTGAGCGGATAGATCCTGTCAAAACATTTAGGCAACAGAACCCCATTTGAATGAGCATGTGGATGAAATATTAGCATCTCAAGCAAAACATCCAGCATAACATAAAGCCAAGCATCAAATGGGAGCATGATCTGTTCTGAGGCAACCGCCTCGTTCATTCTCCTTTGTAGACCTGATGCTGATAAACAAGTTGAAAGCCTGGATTTAATTGCCGTTTTCACAGCAAAATTGCTCCTAAACTCAGCACGTGTCCTCCTTGTCATCGAGGAGTTGGTGGCCCTCCAACATGTGCAGACCATTTATAAAAGTGAGTGTCTCCCCTTCCAAATCACTTGGAGTCCATCCAGTCTGTGACTTAAATCTTTATGCAACTGTGGATCAGAGAAAGAGTCCGAGCCCAAGAGACACTTGAATTGTGAAATTCCACGTGTAGTGTCTATTAGTTTAAAATTTGGAAGAGAATGATCACTGTGTCATCAGTGTAACTGATATGTCACTGATATGTCTTATATGGAAAACATGCATATTTATTGCTTTGCCCAATGCATGGCTTTTAAAAAAAAAAATAGGCAAAATCTTTTGCCAAACAAGCCAGACTAGTAACTAGTAACTCCAAAAAGAAAGAAAGATCATTTGTAAGTGGAAATTACAGCCGACTGTTTTCCCAGGGATGTACGTGTCAGCAAGTTTGTCCAAAAGTCAGACCATGTACTAAAATTTTTTTTTAAAACCCAAAGGCTACATCTTAGACTCCACAAGTTACTATAAGTTTAAAAAGTTCATAAAGTTCATGACAATGTAATACATTACAAAAAGATGGAATTCTGAACAAGCACTGCCTGTTTGGAGCAAACATGGCCCAAGGCATAACTGAAGTTAGCGGCTGCTTAGGGCCCCAAGACCACTAGGGGTCTCCAAGAGTAATCAAAATCATTTTTTAAATCACATTTCGGTTTTCTGCACATATTCGAGTGATAAGTCCCATCACCAAACATACATAATATTAGAAAAAACACAATTTAATGCAAATTTGACCAAGTATCAATTGATGGAAATCTGTTTTCTTCATTGTGTACCACGATTTGACAACAACAAATAGTTTAGTGTCACATTAGATAAGTTTACTGCAGATGTGTGAATGATCAATACTCAGTTATCAGTTTTATTGGCAGATATGGAAGGCAAATTTAGTTTTGGACCCTCTGGAAGCATGTGCCAGCTCTGGCTTGTGAGAGCTGTCAGGACATGGTCTCTTCTGACAACTTTAAAAGGAAAAAAATAGATTTGCAGACTTGAGGAACCAGTCACTGTGGAGAGTTGAAGCCAAAACTCCTCATAAAGATGTCAAAAACTTCTAACTTGTAGAAACGGCTGTAGAAGCAGTAAGCTGAAAAGCATGATGTCACAAACTTCTAACATTGTGCTTTTCAGCTTACTCCTTCTGAAGATGGTTCTACAAGCCCATATACCTGACATAGTCCAGAAGTTTCACACATTGTGTCTGCTTTGTGGGGTTTTTTTAAGCGCATGGTGTAATATGTATGAACTGTAACATCAATACATTGACTTTATATGTCAGTATGTCTACACTTTCATGAACATAATTCAGATTCTGAAGCAACATGTGCTTGTCTGTGTCAGCTGTTCGTACTGTGCCACGGCCTCCTGCAGTTCTCTCAGCTGCTGTACAGCGCTTACTTCAAGAGCACCATCACCACAATCGAGAGACGCTATGGCCTCAGCAGCTACTCCTCGGGAACCATTTCCTCTCTCAACGAGGTAGGAGCCAACACTAACACATGCTCACACGGATTGAGATCACAATAGCTTTATTTCAAGGATTCTCAGTTACAAAGGATGTATTGGAGTTAACGGCAGCATATCAAAATCACACATCCTGACATTTTAAGTGTGACGCCAGTATTGTAGAATTGTGTTTTGGCGCTAGAAGAGTCAGGAATCATGAAAGAATGTTCTGTATGTGCTCACTGAGGAGGGCAAAAATTCCCACGTGTAATGTTTTCCGTTTGCCAAACACGAATGACCTCAGGTCAAAGTAAATCCCCGTGTTGACGTTTGCGTTTTGTTGGCTTTTGGAATTATTTCAAGAAAACAGACAAAACCAGCCTGAAAATTTGAGTTTAGCTTCTCTCCTCCACAGCTTTGTTTTCATATTGATACAGGATTCAAAGGATGCTGTGAGGTCTGGGATTCAAGAGATTTCAGACTTTAGAAGAAGTTGTAAAGACCTACATCTTGATGCATTTAGTGCAGGAAGTCTGATTCAGAGTTCGGTTTTCTTCCTTTCCAGTCATGTCTCTTTGTCTGTCTCTTAGGTCAGTAACAGCATCCTGATCGTCTTTGTGAGCTATTTTGGAAATCGGGTTCACCGTCCTCGCTTCATTGGAATCGGTGGACTGCTGATGGCTGTCAGTGCCATGATCCTTACTCTACCTCACTTCCTGTCCCAGCCCTACGAATACGACTCTGTGCTACACAGTAAGGCAAAGCTATGAACACGAGGTCCCCTAAGGTTGTGGTTACTGGTATGAATCAGCCCAGAACAGGGCACTTGCTAAAATAAAAATCCGAGACTGGAGATTAGGGCTTTGTCTGGAGCAGTGCAGCATTTTCTACACTGAGAAAGCATATCCCAAGTTTCCGTAGCTTGGCTCACTTCTGCGTTGTTGCTGCTCCTCAGTTGAACTTTTGCATGAATCAAAGGGAAATTAAAGCCTAAAGGTATTAAGATTAAATCTACCTCAAGGGCAATTAATTTGCAATAACAACTCCCCCCTTCTGCCTTCCAAAGAGTTTCAGACAAAGTATTTTAGTGCTGAGTGTGTTTCGAAGGTCAGAAATGTTTCAGGAAATGACAAAAGTCCACTGCTACGCCATTAACTTAGACTTTTTTCTCCTATTTTCCATATCTGCCACAACCCGCTTCAAACCAGACCGTCATGACATTTGCATCCTTCAGGGCAACTCCAGCACGACAGAGTCTTGTGGCCGTGATGAGACCAGGCGGCTCACTGACACCAACAACCTGCTGCTGCTCATGGCCAGCGCTCAGCTGCTCTTCGGCGTTGGATCCGTCCCCATCCAGCCCTTTGGGATTTCCTACATAGATGATTTTGCTGGACCAAATAACTCCCCCCTCTACATCGGTGAGTGACCTGTGGCTCAGACGTGTAATGGTGTGTTTAGTTAAGGGGTAAAGAACACAGTTCAGGTTGATACCAAAGTATTTGTAGATTTTAAGGGAGAAAAAAGCTAGAACAAAAATTGGTATCAGAGATTGATGTTTTAGATATTTCAAGTTTACAAACATGCAGTGAATATTTCAAGGATGTCCTGATGGCATCCTGTCACCTGTTAAATGTTTGTTTGTTGGTTGATTGGTTTGTTTTCCTATCAGATCAATCATAGAGTGATTGCTTGGGTAACCATTTCTTATGGTTAATAGAGAAAATTTAAGGCATAATAGAGATTGGTAGAAAATAAGAATAAAAAAACTTACTAAAATCTGCCTTTTATGTGGGAAACCTTATGAGCAAGATATAGATCTGTTTTTGATTATCGGAACTCTGTTCCAGATTGATGGAACAAACTATACAAATATTTGTACTTTAACTATGAGGTAGTGAATGTATCTAAAAGAGATTCCTTTCTCTTTTTGAGTGTTCAGTTAACTATTACTGTCTGAAAATAGCTACAGAAACTCCATGCTTATAAAAGCAGGAATCAAATGATTTAATTAGATAGTTTGGACATATACAGAATTATCAGGATATATTCCTTCCATTTAACATTTCTGTCTTTAAACCCTGCTGTTTAGTTGTAATCACCTCTACCCTTAATTATTGCTTAATTATTTGGTAAAAATTGTTTTTCTTTTTACAACACTTATAGGATTAGATTAATTTAGATAAGAAAATAAGACAACAGCTCCAAAGTATTTTACAAACTTCTTTCTTGTCATTTACAGCCATACTGTTTGCCATTTCTGTGTTTGGGCCTGCCATTGGTTATCTGCTGGGCTCAGTCATGCTGCGGATCTACGTGGATGTGGACAAAAACAACTTGGGTAATGATTAGATAATGTATCCCACAGTTAATAAAGCAGCAGGGGTGCATAACTTTGGGTCTTTAGAGACTCAGTTCTTACCACTGTTTCTTGCAGAAGCAGAACAAGAACTGCGACCAGGAGATCCGCGCTGGGTCGGGGCCTGGTGGATAGGCCTCCTCATCGCCACGGGCTGCTTGGTTCTCACTTCCATTCCATATTTCTTCTTTCCCCGCATGATGCCGTCACAAGACAACAAAAAGAATGCAAGTGTCCCTCTGACAGATTTTCCTACACTACAGGCATGATTCATTACACTGACTGTATCTTTATTGAAGCAGGTCCACTCCAAAATGTGGACAAACTAACTTTTGTATTTTCAATTGAAAAAGCACAGTTTATGGTTACAGTTTATATTTGAAAAGTGTTTTGCAGTTCTGAAGCCTAAGAACTGCAAAAGTACATTTCTCCCCTTGATGTATTGACCACTTTTAGCTTTATGTCAACATTGCAAGTATATTTTTCTTCAAGAATGAATGTACATTTGAAAAGTTTTGTCCATATCAAATTTGAAACACTCTGCTGAGTATATGTTCCTTGACAAGATAAAGCTGATGAAATACCCCTCTTTTCTTTGTGAGCCACGCATGTTGAAACGTGCAGCATTGGATAGGATTGACTGAAGATTTAAATGTTTGAAAGCTTAGACCAGTGAAAAAAGAAGCCAAATTTCTGTTAATTACATTTATTGGAAAATTCTCATCTTAGCTTAGCAAAAAAAAGAAAAAAAAAGAAAACAGCAGCTGACAAAAGATTTTTTGTACAAAAGAAAGAAAAACTATTTCTGAAATTTGTCCTCAATTTAAACACATTCAAGATAGATTTCTTTCTGAGTTTTATGCCTTTGTGTCAATACTGACAAGGGAAAAGATGTTACCATTTGAATTAGTTTGCAAAGGAACTGAAACAGTTATCTAAAAACATTAACAAGTTGTTTAATGGATAAATATGTTAATAGTTGGTCAAAAACATTAACTATCTAGTGTACAAGTAGGTCGTTTAGTTAACAAAAAGATAAACGATGCAATAATGGAACATAGACAACTTAAAATGTATGCCACCTTTGAATGGTTATAATGAAAAAATAACTTAAACACATTGATGGAAGATGTAATCAAACTCAAAACAGTGACTGAAAATGTACTATTGCAAATTAAAGTTCTGCATGAAAAATATCTTCATATGTACACGTAACACTTCAAAGATTGAAGACTGAGTTATTGGAATTGTTGTACCTTAGTTAAAATTGATACCCATAAAAGATTTGGAACTTGGAAATAAAGATATCACATAGAAACACCTGAACTGAAGGCATGTTTGATAGTTAAAATCGTATTAAACTAACTTAAGTAAGTGTACTCTTAAAAAAAAATCAATCTCTTAAAAATCAAATTAATTTAAACATTTGGAGCTTAATGTGTGGATAATTTATTCCCAGTATGCAGGTGATCCACAAAGAACAATAGAAAAATGGTGGAAAACACAGATAGGAATAATTATGCAACAGTGAAACATGGATTTTTCCTGTGAAAAACAGCTCTAAACACTGTGAAGCTAAGTGCAGATGTGTCAGTGTTAAATTATCACTTGCAGTGAAAACAGTTTCACAGAAATCTTCCTTTATGGTGTTTGACAGCTCTAAATGCTTCATAATAAACAAGCCAGCATTACAAATACTAGATTCTTGTCAAGGAATGACAGAATCGTGAATTTTTGTGATGAAGTATTTTACATGTAAGCATCTCACTATTGACAAATATTTGAACGTTGATAACTTACTGATGTGATCGTAATATGCCCTGTTCCTCCAAACATTCTCCTTTGTGTTAATTTTACACCTTGTAAATTTCCCTGTTCTCCTAACAGTTAATTAAACTTGTTGTGAATGACTGAGAGTTGAGATAATGATATAACAATTTTTTTTATAGACAAGCGAAAGTGAGACTGACTCTAATGATGATGACTTCAAGAAGCCAGATGAATCTTTGCTTGATTTCCTTAAAAGTAAGTTTGTCACATTTTGAGTGTTTTGCTAAGAATGTAACTAAACTCCGTGATATTGCTCTAAAGATTCTTTCCATTTGCAAAAATAACTAATTACCGTGTCTGCTTTTGGATCTGAACAGTGTTTCCTAGAATGTTTATACACCTTCTGTCGAGCCCTCTTTTCCTGATGCTGGTCCTGGCCCAAAGCTGCTTCTCTTCAGTGATAGCAGGTTTATCTACATTCCTCAACAAGTTTCTGGAGCGACAATATGGATCCTCTGTGGCATACAGCAGCCTGCTTGTAGGTGCGTACAGTAAAAGGGTAAATTTACTTTTACTATTACTATAATTTTACTTTTTCTTTTAGATTTTCAGTCAACTGCTCAAAATTAATTTGTGTCATGATTTAAAAGAGTGAATATCACTGAGTGATGTGTTTAATGATACTATTCAATAGAAGACCAAATGATTTAGTGTCTGAATGGTTTATCACAGCGCAGTGTTGATTTACCAAACACTGTTTGAGATACCATTTTTATTCAAATGAAAATTTAGCTTAAAAAACATGCACATTTGCCTATCTGAGTTTATTTCTTTTACATATCTGGTACCTCCATTCATAAGTGTAAAACTCTTTGAAAACATGTGCTACATGGTATTTTTTCATGTAGTCTTTAAAACATTTGCTGCTGCTTTTTGTTCTTAGGAGCTGTAAATCTTCCAGCGGTGGCTGTGGGGATGTTGATTGGTGGGGTCATCATGAAAAGGCTCGGCCTGACTCTAAAGACCATCCCACGTTTCTCAGTGGCAATGCTGACCATTTCCACCCTCCTCTGTATTCCTCTCTTCTTCATGGGCTGTCCAACGCAAAAAGTCTCAGAGGTCAATCACCAAGTTGATTATGGGTGAGAGAACCTTTTAATAAAATCAGCATTGACTCATTTTCACATAATCCATCATTTGGTCCTTTGGATTTGCTCTTTTGCATGAAAAAGACAGTCTTTGTAAAAGCAATCTATGCTTTTACATGTGCTTCTGTTGTTTTACACAGAGGCAGTAAAAGTATGACCACTAATGTATTTTCTAAAAATAAAAGTTGGTTTTGGGAGAAAGTTTTAAGTTATAAGTTTGTTTTAATTCAATGCAAAAGGAACATAGAGGACACTTGATACAAGATAATTCCCTCCCTTTTTTTTTTACTGACTTACACTTACACTTTTAACTACCAGATCTGAGCAAATGCAGAAAAATCCTACTTAACCCTTTCATGCATAGTGGTCACTAAAGCAGACAGCTGTTTTAAAAGCCATTTTCTTGTGCATATACAATTTTTTATTTTTTTAAGTGAACATGAGTCACAGAAGTGGAAACGGGTCCATCATGCAATAAAAAAATGTAAATGTCCACAACAATGTACTGTTAAAGAAGAGCTGAGGTACCATAAAACACATCAAGGGTTAAATGAGCTGGAGTTAGAAAAGGGATGTGATATTAGTGACTATTCAGATGAAAGTTGCATGCAGAGTTCTATATTTATGCATCCTGTAAACAAATCTCAAACTATGTTCACATTGTAACATACATATTTCATTAGTAAGATGATTTTCAAATGTATGTTGTCCACTAGAGTGGACATCTGGAAAAATCCTTGAATAAACACATTTTTTATTAAAAAGTTCACCTTTTTTTGTGCCTTTAGAAAATCAAAACACTTTTGAAAAAATCCTGACTAAATGGTTATGATTCATGAATGAAAGGGTTAATAAAATGGGAAACCAACCCCATGTTTTTCTTGTACTTACAAGTCCCGTGAAAATGAAGTTGTGAAAGTTTTTATTGAGCTGTTGTTGTACATTTTGTCCTAACTGTGTTGCTTTTGCAAGGTATTTGAACGTAAGCTCAAGAGTCTTGCATGTATTGAACTCTGTCGCCCTCCACAGGTCCAAGTGTTACACGAACTGCTCGTGCCCCGTCAGCGCCTTCAACCCCGTGTGCGGCTCTGATGGTGTGGAGTACATTTCACCCTGCCATGCGGGCTGCACCAACTTCACCAGATATCCTAACAACTCACACCGGGTTCAGGTCAGAGCCTTCTCTCAGCAACTCTTCTTGGTTTTAAGTGATGCATTTACATTAAAAAACATGAACTTCAGTGACCCCACTCTGTATGCTGCAGATAAAAAGCCCCCCGACATTTGTCTTGTTCTTAAGAGGGGTAGTACCTCCTTTTTACAATTTGTAAGATTTAAAGAAGAATTTTGTCACTGAATCAAAACTTTTTTTTAATACATGCAGACATTTGACCTCTTAGTTTTGAACAGACACTGGTAGCAGTGATAACTCACTCTTACATTGAACACATCCAATAGTCTGCAGATGCAGAACCTAAGGTGACAGGAATAGGGTGGCTACCATCTTCAAAAGCACTCTTAATAAGAATAATAAAACAGGATGTAGTAATTTCCAGCCATAGAAGAAAATCATAAAGGCAAACATTCTTTACCTAGCGGGATCTCCTATCATCTCGCTACCTACGTTGTGATCTGCCAACAATTTTGAACACACAAAAAAGTGTAACAAAGATCTCTTGCAGCTCCTGGTTCAAGTACCTAGAGCACTGGAACCTTTCTGTGTGGAGTTTACTGTGTCTGCGTGGGTATCCTAGTTTCCTCCCACCGTCCAATAATATGCACGTTAGGTTAATTGGACACTCCAAATTGCCCCCTAGGAGGGAATTTGAGTGCGTGTGGTTGTTTGTCTCAGTGTGGCCCTGCAATGTACTGTCGACCTGTCCAGGGTGTACCCTTACTCTCGCCCGATGTCAGCGGTGATAGGCTAATTTTACCAATAAAGAAAAGGAATTAACTAGGAAGCGTGATAATAGTCTCCCAGGCATGGGAAGGCCATTCCCCCTCCTTTTTGTTATTGAATGGTACATACCTAACACATGGCTTTAGGTATAACAGTCCATTGTAGTCTATGCTCAAGGGGATACTAAAGAAACCATTTAATCTCATTTCCTTTTCATTTAGAGAATTTTGTGTAATATGGCACAATGGCACAACACTGCTGAACACTACTTGTTCTCATCCTTGCTCTTTAGATGGAATCACTGTATGACTCTGCTTCTATAAGGATACAAGTAGCTCATAATCAATATCTAATCAATGTTTTTTTTCACTTAGAGAGGGTAAAATAGGCTTATTCAAAGAGGACAAAAGCACAATGTGCAAATTTCACAGCTTTGAATAATCTCCTATATCAGGTGGCGTGTGATTTCCTGTTGAGAATTAGTCGCATTGACACAGCTTGTAAGCCCTGTGTGCCATACCAAAGCATAAACTCAGACCGTACGGGTTTAAGCTGGCTCAATGAGTTCACACTCAGAGATCAGAAGCTACTTACTCTTCTTTTTGTGGGAATTCATACAATGCACAAGTAGTTGTTTGAATTGGAATGCAAGCATTTATTGATGTGCCTGTATTATGATGGTAATAATTCCTAGTATTAACCTTGTGATGGAAGAAAAAATAATCACTTAATTCTGAATTGCTCACATGTTATTGTCTAATATTAGTAGGCTATCATTTTTTTTACTACCCCTTCAAAAAAGCCTTTAATCAGTTTGTTTTACTTCTTTAAATTACATTTTAATTTGGTCTTTAGAACTTAGTCTCTGTTACTATAGAACCCTGTGTACAGTCTTCATAACAATCTCAGTTTAGTATCATGCTAAGTAGCTTCGAAAAACAACAGAGTTGTATTAAGCCTCTCGCAATGTTTTCACTGCAAGTGTAATTTCTCAGCAGGCAGACCGCAAAATGCTTTTTATACAGCAAGAAATGTGTCAGTTGTAGGTGCATTTGAGAGTCTCATCCATATTTGCTGTCATTTATAGTCACCAGAGATCCTCTCCTAAGCTCTTTTGTGTGGAGCAGTGTGTAAAAGAGAGACAGGCAAGGTGACAGACAGCTTGTTGCATTGTTGTATGTGCAAAAAACTCCCCATCAAGTGTTAACGTAATCTGATTTGAACATATTAACACTAGGGAGAATATATGCTCTCCTGCAGATGACAGGGGTGCTAGTTTTTAACACTGATAATAGGTTTACCAGCCCACAACTATGGAAAAGTAAACATTTTCAGTTTCTCCAGTTAACCAGAATAAAAAGAAATCTTTCCCTTGCTTTCTTTCTGGATACAGATTTATACCAACTGCAGGTGTATACAGGGGGATAATACTCACGCCCAACCAGCTCCTTGTGCAAACAGCTGCCGCCATTTCCTCCTCCCCGTCATACTTGTCATCTCTCTAGCATCTCTGATCGCCTGCATTACTCATAACCCAACGTACATGATGGTGCTTAGGTAAGGAAGAATGGCTGTACATTCCAATATTCACTTGTTGCAGATTTAATATGTTCAAAGGTAGTTCACAATTATGGAACTCGACTTTCTCTGCAAACACTATGCAATAAGGATTTTATTACCAGTGTGAAATCATTCCTGCAAGCTATTTGTTTTCAGTGACTTTGGCTGTGTAAAGTTGTATTTGTTTTAAACTTTTGTACTAAATCAAGAGTTTTTAAACTTGTTTTTCATACGAACAGATGGATGGAAAATATTTACATATCCCTTTATATCCCTTGACTGTTTATTTTAGATGTGTTCCCCCAGATGAAAAGTCATTTGCCATAGGAATTCAGTTCTTACTAATAAGAGTTTTGGGTGAGTAAATTCAAATATTGTATCAAATATCTATTGTATGTGTGCCAAATATATCTGTTTCTTGTTTCCAACAACTGTGGAATTAATTGGATTTAAATAAATTCAGAATTTTGAAAAGGTCTCATGAATAAAAATAGACAAAATAGAAATGGAAAAAATACATACGTTCATCCCCAGAGGAGGAAATTCAAAAGGTCAAGTAGCAGTTGTAAGTAATAAGTTTTAGTAAGTAACATTAGAGCCAATTGATGGATAAAGTAGATAGACTAATATAAGATTAAATAATAACCATAATAATCAGAGAAACAATGTTGGATGTAGCTGTAAAAAAAAACATTATGGCTGTTGGAAGAAAGGACAGCCTGAACAGAGAAGTGTGATGAGTATCTGACTGCAACTGATCATCTGTTATGCCAGCATGCTGTAGAGGGGATGCTCACCATTCTCCAATACGAAATAAAACTTCCCCCTCATCTGCAGCTCCATCACAGCTCCGCCCACTGTAGAACTGGCCTTTTTAAGTAGTTGCCTGTAGGTGCCTATGGTTTTTGTCGTTGTTGTGCCCTTACCCCAGAAGACAACAGCATCTAAAAGTGTACCCTCAATAAAAGTGAGATAAAAATGCACAGCATATATGGAAAATTAACATTTAAATTACTAGTATGAAATAACCCTATAAGCATGTTTATTTAATATTTAAAATGAAAAGTATACAGATACAAAGAATGTTTCTATACTGTTCTCTCCATCTAAAGCAACCCAGCAAGTGTGATGAAATGTCTAAACCAGATATTAACATTACATATTGTGACTATTCTGAACCACACAGTGATATTAAAGTGTGTTCTTGTTTTTCTTTGGAGATTGGAGCTCACTTTAATTCCAACAGTGTTCAGTGCTTCACTGATCTCAGTAATGTAGTATCTCTCTTGGTTTTTTTCTCCCTCTCAGCCTGGCTACCAGCCCCTGCTTTCTTTGGCATGGCCATTGATTCGTCTTGTCTACGGTGGAAAGAAGTTTGTGGAAAGGTGTCCAGCTGTGGTTACTACGACAACAACATTTTCCGCAGCCGGTAGGAACAGTAGTTACTCAGAATGCATGTAATATGGACACAAAGCACTTTAATTAAGCATTCATTTCTCCCACACACAGGTACTTGGGTCTACAGGTGTGTTATAAGGTCATGGGACTTATCCTGCTGATTCTTCTGTGCTGGAAGGTGCAGCGGACTGATGAGTACAGTCTGGAAAAAAAGCCTGAAGGACTACTGTGATCCTGCTGATATTTTCCTCCTGATCCGAGCCTCTAACAGCCTCTCTGTGGCCGGAGTGTATTCTGAGCAAAGCTGCCTGAATGAGAGGAATCTATAATCATGGCGAGTCTAAGGTGACCTCAATTTTCTGCGAGTGAAGTTTCCTGCCATGCACAACGAGCTTGTTGGAGTGAAGCTATTTTCTCATATATGTGGATACATAATGTTTTTTCTGATGTGGAATGAAAACATATTACTTAATGAAGGCAGGAATGCTGAAATTGTTATAATGTGTAGCATTAGTACCTCACGATATTAACATACATCCACAAAATGAGTCAGATTGATGATGATAAGTACCTTTATGTAACATTTATTTAGGTTTCTGTTTGCATTAGGAACGCGTCTGTAACTAATTACCTGTATAACTTAATATTTAAGTTGTTTTTTTTTAGACTTTTGTCTTGGGGTTCTTTCTGTGTGGAATTTGGTATATGTGAGTTCTCCCCAGTACACTAATAATTTAGATTCTAAATTGACTATTGCAGTAAATGAGAGTGTGCACTCCTCCCAAACCCCACTATGAATAAGCAGTTATTTAAAAAAAAGAATAAATGTTCATTTAATTGATAATCACATGTAACACTTTCATTTGAATGCTAATGATGTTTTAAATACAATGTTACTCCTATTTTTTAATAAAACAGTGTATCATTATGCTTCTAACACTTATTAGGTAGAGTACACACAAATGTATCAAGCTTACATTCTGCCATATAAGTAATCCTAAATATCTCCAATTTAATTCATGTCATCTTTAATCCATTGCAAGATTTTCTTTGCAGCCTCCGATTTCAGTAGAAATGGATCTTTTACCAATCCTTTTTTCAAGGTTTTGGCAGTAGATTGTTTGGGAACTCAACAGGAACTTGGAGTTGACAGATTTTTAATGGCTGTTTATGGACAGATGGACTTCATCTGGAAGTGTTTGCCAACTAAAGTCAAGCACACAAGGGGTGTAACAACCTTCAGATACCTCACCTAAAACTTCCCCTTTTAGGAAAGCCTTTTAATTTATCACACGTTAGTTAGTACTGTGTGACTGTGAACACTGCTGGAATATGCCTGTTTAACTTCAGGTCACCATCACCATGCTTTTAACATTCATTTCACATATATACTCAGAGAAAGAGATTTTTACCCATTTATGCATAAACATAAAACTTTGCATGTAACTCTCATCCCACTCTAATGACTACTATCTCATCCCTTTTCTGAGTTCCACTCATTAAACTCCTTGATTAAATTTAGTCTATCTTAGCTCCTCTGTTGTATACATTTTCAGTAGCCAATGCACATTTAAAAAATAAATACATAGACAAGTAAATTGCTTTTAAATAGCCGTCCACTGTAGTCACCGCTATGCATTTAAGGTTTAAATATGCCACAAAATTTGTGAAACTTAACTCAATCTTTTCTGTAGAAATGTTTAAAAACATCCGGAATTGAAAGGACAGTAGCATTTAGCATTTTATTAATAGTGGCTTTCCAGAACTTGTTCATATGTTATGTGACTACTACCACCTCTCCCTGCTATTCCTCTCCAACACGCATGACGTCATTCTATTATGACTACTGTCATTTCCACGAAGAATTTGCGCATGCGCAAGAAAAGTGGGGAGGGGGAAAAAAAACCATTACCCACAGCGTCACGGACCTGTGCAGCAGCTTAGTGTACCCATCACAGAGAGACACCGAGAAAGAGAGCAACGTCGCCGCCCATTCCATCGAGCATCTTCACCAACTAACAACGAACTCGAGTGGGAGCTCAAAAGTACTGTCTGACAGTCCTCTGGCGTCCGCAGTGCCCCGCATTCTTTCTCAAAATGTCCATGGGTGGTGACTTTGGAAACCCTTTAAGAAAATTCAAACTCGTCTTTCTCGGGGAGCAGAGCGGTAAGACGTGTTTCTCCTTTCTAGAAGTTCATTTTCGGTTGAGTGTCAAGTGAACTCGTTGCACCTGCCGGTCATGTTGCAAGTTCATGTTGTTGAGACGGATATTTAGCTAGCTGTTCGGGTTGACACGCGCCCTCCTGTTAAGTTTTTGGGGGATTTTAACCAAATGGTGAGAACGTCTTCAGAGGTTAAAAATGAATGTTTCCGGTCTGAAAGGATGTTGGTTAGATATTAAGACATTAGTTTGAAGCAAAATACCAGCCCGTGAGCCTTAATACAATAGTCTGGAACGGATTTCAGCCTGCAAATCGAAGTTTATGAGGGACTACTGATGCTGTAATATCCGCCTTGTAGCGTTTTTAAGATGGATGTGAGTTTAAACAACCCGGATTTGTTGTTATGTGTTACTCAACATAATTAAATGAATGTAATGAACATTATGCAGCCTATGATCTGAGCTGCCGTGAATGGTACAAGTTGGTAAAGACAGTATTCGTGTGTGTGGAGAGACACACCCAGGTTGTCAGTGGCGATGAGATAACTTGTGCGGTTGCAGTCCTTCTCTGCCCTGGTATTGTTCCAGTCTGCATGCAGACTGACTTTTTAAAAGATAAAAATATAAATAAAAATCCGACCCCACCTTTGAATTACAGTATAGTGCCGAATAAACCATTAACGTGACAACATTTAGAACTCGCACTGATATATGAGCTATTCTTAAATCTCTACCTCCATCCTAAACCCTACATGCCCACACCCTCAGACAGTCAATTCGCTGAGGCAACTAAAGTGTTTTCTACGGGATTGCTCTGAGCCGATCGAGGCTTGATTTGAATCTCCAGGTTTAATTTGGCTTGTACCACAGCAGGTCTGTTTTATGTTGTATTTCAGAGGTCTTGAGCAACCAAATTAAGCACATTAGTCATGGCCTGGTTCTCAATTTGGTCCTATTGATCAACCATTAGATTAAGGCCATACCTTACAATGAATTATGTTTCAGTTTTAAAAGCATGAAATTAGATTTTTTGTGTGTTTTTTTGACCAAACACATTTAAAATTATGACATTTAAATGCATTTTTGTGTCTCAGGGGAAGCCTGAGTTTCAACTGAAATCCTAGATGATTACTAAGACTAGAATAACATTCAGGGCCACATTTAGTTTATTAATTGTTGAATAGAAAACTGGAGTACACTATCTTTTGCATGTCAGAAGTTGTGATTTTTGAAAATGAGCTGGTCAATTTTGCAACAAATATGTGTTTATTAACATATAGTTGAAATTCCAAATAGTATGTAAAACAACATCCAACTCATAACTATGTGCTTTTAATTAATTTTTAGCCAAGCTTTTTTTTCTTGCTTTGTTTTGGGGTTTTTTGCCCCAAATTGTCCTACGGTCTAAGGGCTGAGGTTAGGGTTAACGGAGTGATTTTTGGACGCCAGTGATCAGGGTCTTGTCTCCTGGAGATGTCGTTGGCCTAACTAGATGAAACACTGATGAAAGGAGGTTACCACCTGAAGAACCAAATTACATACTGGTAATCATGTCATTGTTGAAATTAGAATGTTTGTCTCAAAATAACATTGAGATGACTGCTTTAGATCTATTAGTTTGTAGCACAAGTTGCTTTTGTTTACTTTGAATTGGAACCTGTTATAAGGAAAGGGAGAAAAAGCGACAGCTTTTCTTTTATGTAATTATTCCCTTTCAATCACCTCTTTATTGTTTCCTGTGTTGATGTGGCAATTTGATTCTGAAGAAGTATACAACTGATGCTTCAAACATGCAATGGCTTCATTAGAAAAAAAAGTTTTTGTTTACCTAAACCTTAAGGGATGTTAAAAGTTTACACAGATATTTTCCTTCAATTTATTGTATTTGAATTTAGGGACCCCGAGATTCAAGAAACTGTAGAGAAAGCTTAGTGATTAAAATTTTCCATAATAGTTGAAAAAGTTACTTATTTGTTCTGCATTTTTTCTTGCTTTAGCCAAAGAACAATAGAGGAGGTGTGATGTGAACTGCTGTGGGTATTTTAGCACTTATTTGATATTTTATTACTTATTATTATGTCTTCCTGTACTTATTTTGCGTTTTACTGCTTTACTATCTTGTTTTTTTATTAACTGTCTACTCTTCTTAACTGTACTTTGGTAGACTGTGGTAATTTTAAGGTGCTTTAAAAAAAGCTGGTTTTGTTTGTCTGGCTTGGTAATCTGATAGATGCTGTAGCAGGGAGTGTTTACTTGCTTGTGGCAAATCCATTTTGACAAGACAGCATTGATTATGTTTTTGCCCCACTTTCAGAAGACTTGTAATTTGCATGATATTTTTTATTAATCATTTGCTGTGATGGATTAAAGCGAAAAATTAAATACTCTGTATTTCCTGTAATATAAGGTAATTAAGCTAAATCCATTAGTAAGCTTACCATGATATAAATGTCTTTTAGGCTTTTTTCTGATGTAGAAGATATTCCAGTTGGCTTAATTCTGTAGTGTCTAGAATTTATTTGAGCTAATGAACTCCAATCTCACTGGAGACACTGGATGTGTGTACTGTGAGGTCCTAGCCACATCAGAGTAGTCAGTCTGTGCCTATTATCAGTGAGAGCAGACTTAATTTGTCAGCCAACCAGTCTCCTGTCTCCAGTGGATCTGTGTCTCTTTGACATGTCTGTGATTATTAAAGCTGGTGGCCAGGCGGATGTGAATCCAGCCAGCTCTGCCACAGTCCTTTATTAATGCACACCTCTGGGTTTGGGTTCGTCAGGAAAAGGGACAGTCAGCTCGGACTCTGCTGGGAACAAAGAAAGTTCCTTGATACTGTGTCTAAGGACGTGTCTATAAAAAGACAACAGCTTATTCTCGATTTTTCATAAAAGAATCGGCTAACATCAGAGAGGTGGGGGGCTCCAGATTAAGTGGGTAGAAGATGGCAGAGTTTTAAATGAGCTGTCAGGAAGTCTCCTCCTCCATACCTCAATGGTTGTTGTCTGCTCTTGCTGTAGAAAGAGGCTGGCTATTTCCTTGGCAAAGATGAGGGTTTAAAGCAAGCCAATCAGCTGTTACCAAATCGGTGTGCCCACGCTTCGGGAGAAAATGGATTTTCGTCTGGACCAGCCTTCAATCAACCGACTAAGTCATTGTTACACCACCTCAGATTACTGATCGGTGTTCAGTGGGTTATAGTTGTTTTGCCCAAGGCAAGTTTTCAGAAGAGCAATGCAGGATTGTACTTTGTGAAAGCCAATTTTTTGGAGGTAATCCCCCCTGCATGCTTCATTTCACCTCATACAACCAGATGGGAATACATTTTTCACTCACTGAATCATGATGCCATCTTTTAACTGTCACTGCAATGAGATTGCTATGGCAAAAACTAGATCTGGTTTCAAAATAGTGCTGAATCAGCAGACGGGTACACTTCAGGGACAGATTTAGGTTGTTGTTGATGCATCAATTGCTTTCTGAGCAAGTGAAACTGACTTTTGGATTTCCTGGCCTAGGAGTAGCTAACCCATTTCCTTACTGATATTGTGAAACCGCAGTTGCAGAGGTAGACACTACATCTTCTCAAAAACATCAATAACACACAGGTCAGAAAAGCACAGTTAAAATAAAAAATGTCTTTCTTTTCTCAGGAAATTGTCATTTGTTTGCAATGTATTGGCAGTAATGTCAACTTTGAGATAATATTGTTTAATATCTAGACTTTATCTACAGGCATGGTAACGTATGTCATTGCAGAAAC